TTTCACCATACAACTTTGAATTTGCATTGGAAATTTCGCTAATGATGAATGCACCAGACCCGAGAAATGGAGATCAAGCAGGGAGTCCTGCTCGAAAAAGATCGGAAAAGAACATCAAAGCAGCAAACAAAACATCACTGGATTGGCTTAAGGGAAAATCTACAGGAAACTATGGTTTCTACCATCAAATATAGGGGTTTCCGGTTAAAATTTTCCCTTAAACCAATCCAATGAAAACATGGAGATTCAACCGCAAATTGAAGCCGCAAAACATGGTTGAATCCAAGTGCGAAGAAAAAGGCAGAGTTTCGTGAGACATCCTAGCTGGACTCGCTGAGGCCTGATGCTTGGCATCCAAACATCTACCCTCTGGTAATTTAACATTGCTATTGAAAATGGCCATTAATAGTTGATTTTCCCATTAAACATGGTGATTTTCCATAGCTATGTTAATACATCTTCACAACTTTGACCAAGAACCCATACTCAAGGGCCTTCTCGGCCGTAGACATGTCATCAGTCATCACCCATTTTCATAAAATGCTGCTTAGAAGGGAATGCAGTACACTACTCAGTAGAACTCCCCATTATATATAATATTATATAATCCATCAACGGGGTTTTGGACACTGCTCAATTCTTCTTAACACTCCATAACTTAGTAACACATAAACTGAAGCTGAACTAAATTTCTCAACACAACTATCATAACTTCACAAGTTGTTTTCATGATTAATAGTATTAATAGCCATTAATTTATATTAATGTGCGTTCATTAATTCAATGGGAAATTCAGGATCCTAAAATGAAGGTACTGTACCATATACGACCATATTTTGTTGGGATATTCCCTTACATAGGCCTAAAACATAGGCCAAAATATATATGGTAGGTACCTCCAATTTAGGATCCTGAAATTCCCATTGATTATATACCAATGATTAACCATTATTAAACATTATTAACTATTAACCATGATTCACCACTATTAGGTTCCTGTTGCATGGCCATTGATTGTTGATTCTTATCCAAACCACCATTTACCCTCTGGCA